CTCAACCCATCGTGCCGTTGGGAGCGCTGGTCCAGGATCTGGGCTGCAGCTTGGTTTGGAAGCGAGGTCAGTTTCGGCTAATGCACCCTTATCGGGGGCAGCTGAGAGTCAAGGTGCGGAACAACTGCCCAGAGGTGACCCTCAGAGAAGCCAACATGCTGATCAAAGAACTCGAGGAGAACCAGGTTGCGCAGTTGACATCTCAAGTCGATTCTCTTACGGCAAGATTGGAAGTTATGCGAATGGAAGAAAAACAGACCTGGGATGAGCTTCTGAAGGCTTACCTCGAGTCCGGAAATCAGGGACTACTCCAACGAGCTGTGATGCTTTGCCCCTTCACCAAGGACATTCCAGCGGATGCCCAAGCAATGTTGGTAACCAGCTTCGACCCTGATGGTGGTGAAAAGTATATGAAGGAACTCCCGCTTACCCGAAGGAGGCGACGATTGCTTATGGCTTCAGAAAGCTGGGTGATCAGGCTTTTTGCGGGAGAGGGCTCAGATGATGATGGTTTCGTCAAGGCTGCCAGCAGAAATGGAAGAGTAGTCCTCAACGTTGACAAGGCCAACTCAAAGCTATGGGACATAAATGGACCGTCACCGGCCTACAAGTTGATGTTATGGGCGGCATCAAAAGGGAAGATTGCAGACGTTATTGGCAGTCCCCCCGAGACTACATGGACAACAAGCACCACTCCTTTGAGAGGCCCAGGTTCAGTTCATGTTCGAACCAAAGACTACCCCTACGGCGTTCCGGAACTTTCTCCACTACGACAGGCCCGTGTGAACAAGGAGACCGCATGTTGTGCAAAGCAGCTCCTCATATGGACAATGTCAATGATGAAGGGAAGGCGCAATGTGGGCTTTCTGATGGAATTTCCAGCAGATGAGGTTTCGCCTCTAGAAAATGCCCCTAACTGGCTGTCCTTCTGGAAAACGGAAATGTGGAAATCATTCAAGTCAGTCAGCGGCACCAAGCAAGTGACGTTCAATCAAGAAGCTTTGGGCTACCTGTTGGTGTATGTGGATGACCTGATGATAATGGGCTCGGAAAGTGTCATGGGCTCGTTCTTTGAGTGGGTGTCCAATAAGTGGGAGTGTGATGCTCTCAATATCTTGTCGGAAGAGAACAACTTGAAGTTCCTGGGAATGGAGTTACACTACGTGAACGGAGGAATCGAAGTGTGCCAAGAAGGCTTCATTCGAGAACTACTTCGTGCGCATCAACACAATGGTGCAAGGTCAAAGACACAGGGCGCGAAGGAGACGCTAATCATGTCGGCTGAAGAGGAGGCGATGATGATCGAGGGTTCCCTGGTGAACTTGGAGGGAAAGGAACATTTGGTTAAAGAGGCTCAGCGACGAGTTGGAGAGTTGTTGTGGTTGAGTTCACGGTCAAGACCAGATATCCAGTATGCTACAGCGGTTATGGCATCTCGAATCACGCGGTGCCCGGAGGCAGTGATCACAATTGGTGATCGACTTCTGGATTACCTGAATGAGACAATGTACGATCGACTACGTTTCGCCAATGACAATGACGAGCTCCAAACGCTGAGGACTTACACCGACTCGAGCTTCGCGCCCTCGTCCGGGAAGAGTCATGGTTCAGTGGCTATTTTTTATGGATCCTGCCCTTTGACGTGGAGGAGCTCCAGACAACCACTCGTGGCATTATCCACGGCGGAAACGGAGCTTATGGAGGCTGTCGAGGGGGCGGTGGTGAGCTACTCGACCAAATGCTTGATTGAAGAGCTCCTCGATAAACCATTACATATTACACTCCACGTCGACAACAGCGCCGCTATTTCTTTAATGACCACGGCCTCTGGAACATGGAGAACAAGGCATCTACGACTACGCGCAAATTGGATAAAAGAGAAGATCCTCTTGCGAGAAGTGGCTGTTGTTCATGAACCGGGAACGACACAAAGGGCGGACATCGGGACAAAACCCTTCAACAAGGACAGGCTCCAGCAGCTGAAGGACCTATGGGACATCAAGAACCGGCGACCCGTACAAGTGAAATCAATGAAGGCTTTGAATACAAGTTCGTTGATGAAGGGACTTATGGTCCTGTCTCAAATATGTGGTGCAAAAGGAAAAAGAGACGATATCGTGAAGGAAGAGATCCAGACCGAGGTTCCATGGGACTTGTACATTGTCATCATTGTAATGGCCATTGCGGTGATCGGGCTGTGGGAGGCATGCAAACATTGTTTACAACGACAAAGGGTGAACGTGAAAACGTTAAGGGCCAAGGCGACGGAAAGTTCAAAGAAGCTGACCAGGAATGACCTGAAAGAGCTTCAAGTTCTTATGTCATTGGAGCCGCAGTCGTTGTCAGATGAGCAGAAGCTTCGACTCTTTGACCTCAAGGAGTTATTTGATTCTACTATGCCATCGAATACGTCACCGCTGCCAACAACGGTTATGGAAGGGTCGACTCAGGCATCATCGTCAGCGTCTTCATCATCCGTACACAACAAGAAGCCGAAAGATCCTCCTAAAACAAGGGAACAAGGGGTTCAGAAAGATCCTCCAGCCTTTGAGCGAGTTCCTCCTCCACCGCCACAACAGGTGAGGGTATTTGCAGGCCCTTACTATCAGACGGAAGGAAGCTCAGTGCTCCATGTGTATGAGAACTGTTGGGGTCTGCGCAACACGAATAGACAGAGGCAAGTGCAACTCTGCCGTTGCTGCGCGGAGAACAACGGGAACCGCATCTACTGAGAAGAGTCAGAGATGTGATGCTTCACTCACGCCAAGCATCAAGGAGGAGTGCAGAAGTCTTAGCTTCTAACTTCAGATGCGGTCCTTTGACAGTGCGTGCATGAGTGATGGTTTTTTGTACGTTTCGAAAGCTTCATGGCTCAGAGAGCCCGAACACAGCATCGGCAGGCCGAAGCATAAATCAACGATGTAAAGAGTTGACAGCTGAAGCCACTCTGCATATGTTCGGTGTCGAGTAAAAGAAGCTACGTCCGAGTGATTGCATGGTTCAGCGCCGCTTTGCTGCATAAGTCTGTGCCCTCTGCGAGAACTCCCAAATTCGAGATCAACGAAATCTACAGGTTTATAGAGTTTGTAGGGTTGGAGGCTTAGGGAGCATGCCTCCACTATTTCAGTGCCTCACATTTCGGACCCTTCGACAGCACCGCGCCATATAAGGCAAGCGACCCACCGATGAACTTTGTGCGGGCGTCGTGCTCGTGCTTCTTGCCTTCGTGTAGACGGTTAAACGCACTGAGGGCCCCATGTTGTATTATAACACGGCTAGAAAGCCTTACCTGAACATCCCCAAAGTAGGTAGAATAATTCTCCAACACCTATAGACGGCGATTATTCGACATTCTCTTGGGGGCCAGGTAAACCCTAAACCCTGAACCCCAAACGCCCTCAACCCTACAAACCTGGAGGTTGAGGTGTAGAGCTTTCCACTCGAACTCCCTTCACCCGAATGCGCTACGGCCCCACCTTATCTGCCTGAAGTCTTTTCTTTATCATAAGAAAGAGCTATACAAGAGTAGGTCACGGTCGTAGAAGGTCGGGTTTGGGGATGGATGAGGCAGTTGGGGCATTGCGGTGTCAGATTGCAAGCCCCGAGCCCCAAATCCCAACCCGTTTCCGATAAATCCCAACCGGCCCGAACTCTAAGATGGGGGTCGGAACAACTCATGTTATAATGGATCCCGGAACCCTAGTCTAACTATTTTTGTGGAAGCGCTCCACCCCCTACGAGTAACCCTGCACCCTAAACCCTGAAGCTTCAACCCTAACTAAATTCTAAAGCCGTCGGCGTATGGAAGCCTTCCCAGCCTCGTGCCGTGCATATAGCTCAGCATGGGCTTTTGCAGAAGACTGCTTGGGTGTCCGTTTTGGGGTATACCATGCGAAACTTAAGTAGGTATTTCTAGGGGATACAATGACTGTAATAGTGCTAGTTATGCAGGCCTGTAGCATAGGGCCTTAATAGTAACAGTCTCAACAGGGTATTGCGGTAAAACTACATCCGACCATACATGAATACTTTTACCAACTGAACAGCACGGCCAGGCGCAAGGCGTAGGGGCTTGTGCCGAAAGGGCTTGAGGTTTGGGATTTAGGGTTCAGGGCTTTATAGGCCTATCAAGCCTAAAAGCCTTGTTATTTGGGTCCATAGATAGGGTCCATTACGCGTGGTAGGCGAGGAGCCGTAAGCCCTGAACCCGCTGAAACACCTGACCCCCCCAAGCCCAAATCCCAGAGCCCAAACTTAGAAATATTTTGTAATTTTTGGTTATTATAATCCCTAAGAAACAGCTAAAATTGTAATTCTTGCTAGGGTTCTGGGTTCAGCATAGAAAAAGTCATCCCAGCCCGAGACTTGCGCTTGGCGTTGTGGCACGTGGCTCAAGCTAGATTTTAAGGGCGAATCAGCTCATGCTCAACTACCATAGCTTGTTTTTCATAGGTTATTATGCATTACGAGCCCGAGTACAAAGCTTGTAGGAGTAGGTTAGTGTAGTTTATTTAAGCATGATGCTGTTTTGAGTTTAGAGCTTGTGCTTTGTGTGAAAGGGCTGAGGCTTGAGTATTCAGAGTTTCTTTACTATTTCCGGGATTCGTTTCAAGCGTTTGCGCGATGGATTTCGAGTATAGCCGTCTGGGTTGAAGCCGCGAACCGCCTTCATGGGGCCGGGCTTAGGGCTTTAGGGTTTAAGGCTTTAGCGTTTAGGGTTCTGGGCCTTGTGAGGATGCTTATGCACCAAGGACAAATTCACTGAGTCTTCTAGGCTTGCTGCATACCACTGAGGCTTAAGACGTAGAGCCCTAGTATAAGTTTTCTTGAAGGACGAGGCGGTTTGTGAACGGGGTCTACTGTAGGAACCTGATTATATAAGAAACCTGGGGCCTTTTTTAGGGTTCCTTGTATGAATCCTACTATTTTGGGGGTTCTAGGCCCAGGGTTTCTTAATCGGGTTCCTACATTGCACCACTTGGCTTCTGTTAACCTAAGCCATGGTCGGCAAGAAGGGCGGCAAAGGTGCAGAGCCTTCAAGTGGAAGTACCAAGGACCGAACTCGCCATGTGTGCGCATGGTTAGTTCGGGCAGCTAAGGAGCCAGGGATGACGATAATCCCTAGTAGCCCTAGTAAAATAAGGAGCTAAAGAGCCAAGGGAGCCCCCAAAACCACTTGTTAGTTTTGCATTGAGATTTTAGGCTTTGGCATTTGATTGCATGGCCAGTTCTTCCGTCAGCCGCAAATTTTGACCCTGAACTCTGCATCGAGCCATCGTAAACCCTCGTTGTGTTACATATGGCATATGGGAGTTTCCGAAGATAGGAGACCCCCATCTCGTACACTAAATAGTAGGATCCTTATTATAAGAACCCCAAAATATGGTACCCCAAATTTCGGAAACTCCCATATGATGATGTCATGGAACCTCAGTTCAGCTAGCCCCCGTTCCAAGACGCGGTGGCAGGGTCAGGCTTCAGACGGGAAAGGTTTTTGTGGGTTTCGGGCTGATAGGGGTTTTGGGGATCTAAAACTTAGAGCTCTAGAGTTTAGGGTGGGTAGAGCTGAGCGCACTCGCGCAGAGTTTGGGTGTTGAAAGTTCTTTTTTGTTTGAAGAGGGTTTAATTGAGTCTTGAATGTTTGTTTTCATGTTTGCAGAGGTTTATTTTTTGCAGTCTCAACTCACTGAAAATGTTTATGAACCCGACGTTTCAAACCTTAAACACTCTCCTTGACAGGGAGTCCTGAAGAAGCCCCATGCTTGTCAACTTGCACTATTCGGACCCCCTGTCCCTTGCCCAGTACCATATTGCAGTTTGTTGGAGTTCCTTATGCCGGGGTTCTCGGCGAAAACTTGAACCCCCTTCAAGTTCAGAAAGAGCGAGAGAGAGAGAAAGAGAGAGAGAGAGAGAGAGAGAGAGAGAAAAAAAAAGAGAGCAAGACAGAAAGAAAGAACTAGACTGGCAGTGAGAGGTGGCGCAACAAGTCGGCCAAGCTCCGCAACACCGCTTGACCTGTGCAGAGCTCGAGGCAGAAACAGATTGTTTTGGGGCAAAGATCAAAGAGCTGGAACATGAGAAGACGTGGATCATTGAAGAGCCAATAGTCCTTTTGCAGCAGCAAAAGCAGGAGACGGACGCGAAGATAGCGTCCAAGGCCTTGATTCGTGAGCTTTGCCCGAGTTGGCGTATGAAAAACCGGCCAACAACAGTCGAGGGACCCGCCGATACGTGTTTCAAACTTGTTTCCCCGGAGAGGTCATGTCCTTGTTGTCTATGCGGGATACCTAGGAGGTGTGATTCAAAGGCTACCAGCTCCTTCAGAGAGCTCTCAGTGAACAAAGCCAGGCAGTGTCGGGCACCCGGTCTGCTTATGTGGCTATAGATATCCCTACTTCTTTTGCAGTCCTCTTGAGTGCTGCTGACCCACTGTCCTGCGAGTCACACTGTGCGTACAAACCCCAAAAGGGCACACGCTTCGAGTAGCAAGGCTATAGGGTTGAGTGGAAGGTCAGAGGCTTGCATAGGTTTCCAAAGCCGCGACCGTAAGCCCTCTACCCAGAGAGCACAATAAAGCTTAAATCATGATATGAAGCCCTATATAATTTAAGCCATGTTCCTTAATTAAGGGGTATTGGGCTCTCCCAAAATAGCATAGGTAATTATCTAGGCCCCTGTAGTATCTGTTTCCAGGACACTCTGTATCGGATCTTCCTAAATCCGAAACCCAAAACCCTAAACCCCCAAACCCCAAAACTCTAAACCCTAAACCGTGCCTAGCCCTTAGGCCTGTAACGCTTGCATCCGAAGTTCGGCTGGAAAGAGGAGCAGTTCTGGAGCAGCTTGAGCGCCGAGGATGCCAAGTGCCTTGCTGGCATGGACAAGGTTGTGACTACTATAGGGGCATATTGAGTATACTATTTTGAGGGTTCCACATTATATTTCTAAGTATAATTGGGTCAAGTTTAGGGTCTACCTCGACCCCCGAAGCCAAAGCATGCACGATAATAACCTCTCACAGGTATTGGCTAAAGCATGCACAATAATAACCTCTAACAGGTATTGGGCCATTATTGTACCTACTTTTGGGGTTTGGCTAAGGGCGTTAGGACTCAAGGGTTTGGAGTTTGGGTATATCTATGGATTCGAGCCAAGCTTTGCGGTTCAGGCATTGTGCCTCATCTTCCTCGAAACGTCTCTCCATGATCCAACCCTAAACCGTTTCGATATCTTACAGGGCCGTTCGACAACCTCTTCAATCCCTTAAGATTCCGCAGACCGAGAAGCCTCCAATCCTTGAAGCCCGAAAGTCCTAAAGTTATAGCCCTATAAGGCCCGAAAGCTTATAAGCCCTGAAGCCCTGAAAGCCATAACGCCCTGAAGCACTAAACTGTAAACCCTAATCATTAATCCCTGAGGCAGCAACCATCTTTACAGCCCCAAACCCAGAAGCCTTGAGTAAACGCTGAAGCCCTGAAGCCCTCAAGCCAAACGCCCTAATCCCCAAAGCCCTGAAGCAGAAAACCCAAAGCCATAAAGCTTAACCCTTAAACCCTAAACCCCTAATCCCTCAACTTCGATTTTGAGGCTTGCCAAGGCCTGGGATTGTGGCGATCTCGATAATCTCCAGAGGATCAAGGCCAAGAAGGAGGCGGCCTTTAGGGCTTTTAATGGCCTTTATCAATGTCTTAGGGGTAAAGTTTTTTTTGATTTTTGGGACCCAAAAACCACCAAGGCGCAGCCACAATAATGAGTTTTGCTAGGGGTCTAAGTTCAGTCTTGGTTTGAGGTTTAGCACCAATTCAGAATTCTATGGGCATGCCCCAGGCTCATGGTGGGGGCTATGCAAGGCCACTCGGTCAAAGTGAACAATGATGCTCTCAGCGCCCGAATCAACCAAACCAGAAGCCAAAACCTTAAATCTAGACTCCGACTAGATTGGTTTGCATGGGGGCTTATTCGCACGAATTGCTGCTAAATGCGCAGCTATATGCTTAGCAGAAGCCCCCATGAATACCGTGCTAACGACACTGAGCGGTTGCTCTTGAAGCCCTGAGCTGTAGAAATCAACAGACGGAAGGCCGATGAGAAGAAGGCGAGGGATCAGCAGTACTACACCATGAAGCAGAATGAGAGGAAGCAGCAGTGGGAGAAGGACCATGCTTTGAGGATTTCTACGCGGGTTTCTAGAGGGTTTCTGCAAGGGTTCTTTTAAGGGTTTCCCTAACGGTTTCAATAAGGATTCGGGTTGAAGGTCAACTTTTCGCGGTCCGGTACGGGGTTTCGGCTTAAAGGTGTGGGTCCTGAAGACTCGGAGTTTCGACTTCGCTCTCTTCTTCATCGCCGGACCGGCTTTTGGTGTGGGGCTTAAGCTGTTCGATTCGCCACAACTTTATAGTTGTCGCAGGCACCCAAATCAGCTCAGAACGGGGGGTGTTGGCTAGGGGGGGTACAGGGCAGCGGCATGAAGGCGACAGGTTCACGTGTGCAGATAGTTCTTGCATAGGTCTGCGTGCGATAACTGTGTGTAAGAACATGTCCATGCAGCCAGTGTGTCGTGAAAGTAAAAGTCGTGTTTCTCTTGCCGCTCATATTTGTCCTGACTCGCCCGTTCTTGGCGGATGTGCTCAGAGCACGGGGCGACATCAATGTTGGGCAGCTGGGATCTTGCTGGGTGTCTTCATTTACAATGCGGCCTTGGCCACTATGGTGGAACTGGCTTGGCATGGAATGCAAGGTGCAGATTGCCAGACAAAGGCCAAAATGCAGCCGAACCACGACCGGTACAATTTGTATTGGCGCGCCAAAATGCCGATACAACCGCCGAGGCAGATGTATCGGAAACCGACAAAAATGATACATGTATTGAAACCCCACGAGTTCAATACACATGGCTTCCAGGTCACGATTACAAGAAGCAAACGCATGTATCGGACGCAAGCGGACGCGATACAATGCCCTTCCAGGGTCGCGAGGGCGTTCACAAATGTCAAGCGGCGTCGCGTGACAAGATTTCGTGCTTTGCGAAGCGGCAAGGCGTTTTAATACACCCGCCGCAAATCCTCAGTCGCAGAACTTGAATCACACCGACTCTCCAGGTTGGTTTCCGTTCTCTGTCCTTGAGTAGACAATTCACTCACAGTTGTAGGTATAGGCGCGGGGATTGAATGAGCAGATGACAGGGAGCCTTTGTAGAGATGGAATTTCTTGATTTCAGATTTCTCGCTTGGAAACCGTGGTGCTGCAGCACTGGACATAGCCAACAACCTTCCTACCCGAGCTTTCTGCCCCATATTCAACTTTGAACGTTTCCCGTGGACTTGGCATCGTCATAAACTTGTTTGCAAGCCGTCACAGAGTGGAATATGCTGCTGGCCAAACCCCCCCCAGTGAACCCCACCGTCTTGAGCTGTCCAAAGCCCTAAGCACTAGCCATCGAAGAACAAAAACAGTTCAGAGCCCTTTATTGAAGAATATGAGTTTAGAGTTCCGGCTTCGTAGTATAGAAGTTTGGGTTGAGGGCTTAGAGTTGTAGCCTCGAGCCATGAACGTTGTACGCAATGCACTGGCGCTTACAGCCAGAGAAGCCCCAAACTCCTGAAGAACGCCGTCGCCGAAGGAGGAAGCCAAGAAGCAGCGCGACAAAGCCCGAGAGGAGAGTGCCTTGGAAGCGAGTTGTTCCGCTTTATCGATTAATCCGCGGATTCAGGTTTTGCATGTTTGTACTGTTGTGTTGATGACCAGTACTCGTACTGTGTAATCATGGCGATGCTTGTCTCCTTATCTAGGGAGCTAGCTGTTGCGCTGAAACTTCAGGCGCTTGTTGTCGGTCCTCAGTAGGTTTGTAGGTTTTAGGATTCACAAGGGTTCGAGCTCTCTGACAAGAGCGATGGCATTTCGTGTAAGAGGCAAGTCCAGAAACGACTGGTTTTGAGTTTAGGGTTGAGTTGTAGGGGTTGTATGGCTTAGGTGCTTAGGGTTGAGGGTTTAGGTTTCAGAGATCGGCATTGTGACAGACATGGTGCTACGGGATGAGGTTTTCGGCTTCGGCTTCAACAGCACGCACCCTACCGGGTTGGCTCTACGGCAGACACGAGCAACCGGAAGACTCCGTAAACCCCTAAACACCCATGCCCTAAACTCTAAAGAATCCCAAACCTCGAACCGTGAACCTATTGAATGATGCTTACATCCTAAAGCCCTAGACGGAGCAGAGAAAGAAGCCATTGCACTTCTTTTTGAGAAAACAAAAGCCCTAGACCCTTGAAGCCCTAAATCACTCAAGCCCCAAACCGTGCGGTTTTTCACCCGCAAGTAGCCTCCACCTAAACCCTATAAGCAAGCCTTAAACCCCAAGCCCTCACACCCTGAACCCTCAGCCCTAAACCCCCAACTAAGCCTTGAACTCAATCATCCTACGACCGAAATGCTGCAGCCCTTAAGATCAGGTTCCTACAATAAATCAGGGAAAATAAGGCGTAATTAAGAAGATACCTTGAAGTTAGGGTTCCTACAAGAAAGGTCTCCTAGTTTGCCAGCCGAGGCAAATGGCTCTCAGACTTGGAAAAGAGCCCCGGAGCGGTTTAGGATCTAAGGTTTCACAGGTTCGACAAGGGCTTAGGGTTCAGGGTATGGGTTTCTATCAGTTTTCCATGGGGTTTCAGAGTTTCTGTGCGTTTCTACAAGGGTTCGAGAAGCAAGCCCCAAACATGTTTTGCAATTAAGAGTTGAGGGCCCGGTTGATGGTTTAGGAACTTGAATTTTGCTCAGAGCACCGTATCAAAGCGACATCCTAAACCTTAAGCCGTAAGACAAACTCATTCGTTCTCGGTCAAGAGCCATTCAGAAACGAAGCTGGGACTACGGGACCAAGCCCCAGGCACAGTCTTAGGGTTTATGGCTTCTTTGTGTTTGCTAGGACTTTTGGTTTGGCGTTGAGCTTCAGTCCTTTTTGTGGGGCCCCTAGCGCCCATCGTCAGGCCTTATGACAAAGTTCAAAGACCTTCACAGGTTGAATGAAGGTACGCTTCATGATGTAAATCCTGCATTACCCATAAGAAGGAATATAATTACCATAATTCCCATAGTTAAGGCCAGCTGACGTTTTTGGGTGTAGGGTTAGGGGTTTTGGGGGTTTTGGGATTTAAGGATTTAGGGTTAGGGTATAGGGTTTGGGGAGTTTACGCTTTAAGGTTTAGGTGTAGGGCGTAGGGTTTAGGGTTTGGGGTTTAGTAGTTTGTGATCCCAAGACCCCCGAACCCGAGAGCCTAAACCGCCTTTCTTGCTGGGGGTAATGAGGGCTCAGGGGTTTGAAGGCTTGCAGCGGGTTAAGTTCGGTTCACATTCAGGGGCCCTCCACACCCCTGCAAACACTATGAATGAAACCGTGGAACCTTAGAAGTCCCTACTGAGCAGAAACCCGATAAATCAACAGACCCTGAAGGACCCGATAAACCTTCAAAGCAACCATCAACTCTGTAAGACCCGTCTCTTGTGAGTTCCGACGTCCAAGGACCAAACAGCGGGCATTGCGGGAACGAGTTGTGGAGGCCGCCTGAACCCTACTTGGAGGTTCATGGGACTTCGTAACTAGGGTTATAGATAAGGTAACTCTACCTACATTTACCTATAACTCCGACTAAGGAACTTATAGCCTCACTTACTAAGTCCCATGATCCTCCAAGCGGAAGCTTGAACGTGTGCATTGCCTTGCAGCGCGGCAGCACACATTTCTACGCTACATGACACCACATTCCATACGGCGGTACATGCAGCATGTTTTTGTGTAGATAGGGAAGTAGGATGATACAACGATAGAAAGCTAGACTGGCAGATAAAATCAGGGCCCAAGGTGAAAACGAAAACCCTAAACCCTAAAACCTTAAACCCAAGCCCTACACCGACGAAGTCTCTGAAAGCTTTTCAACGAAGGGTTTCGGGCCAAGGGTTCTGCAAGTCAATTTTGGGTGGAGGAGAACCCTACGTCTAAACCCTCAACCCTCTCCTAACCCCCCCAACCCCCCACGCCCCAACTATCGAATCCTGATCCATAAGCCTAGGACTCAACCCTTCGGCCCCAAGCACCAAAAACTCGAAACGCCAAGCCCTCAACTCCAAGGCCCTTCACTCCCAAAACCTCAGCGGGAAGTAAACCTCGAATCCCACACAATAGGTCTTCCCCGGCCGAAATTCCTATGCAACCACAGAGTTTAGAAGCCTCAAGAAAACCCAAAGGGAAGCCTAGGAGAAAACTCTACGAAACCCTCTAGATGTAGCGAGCCCTGAATCCCTGAACCCTAAACCGTGTAGATTCGCAGAGGCCGAAACCCGGCAGTTCCAAACTGCAAGCCTGAAAGCCACGACACCGGAGGCTTGGTATGATGAGTCCCAAGGAAAGAGCTATGCCTCACGGCTCAACTGGTAGCAGAGATTTACGAACCCTAAACCCCAGACCCTAAACCCTGAACATCTAGGAAGCCTTGTTTAAGATGTTTGGGGCTTTGGGGCTTTTGTTTCTGGTTGTGGGATTCGCAGTTTAGCGTTTGGGATTTAGGGTTGACTTGCGATGGACAGTTTCGTTTCTAACCCTAAAGCCCTGAACTTGTCTTCATTCAGACCCTTCGTTTTTCTTGGTGGGCTCGATGCTTTGTGTTTGTTATACTTGAAATGGGAGGTGTGGCGGGGTTGGAACTTACGAAAGTTTACGCCTTGATTATAAACCCCTGAACTCTGTAAACCTGAAACCTGGACCCTACTAGTTAATCCCGAACCCCTCAAGCGAACCCCTCGCTCTCACCACGACATGGGCGCAGTTTGGTGAGGGATTCTTTGATGCTGGCGGCCCTCGGAGAAACGGAGGTCGCGGCGAATTTCTTTCGCGGGCAACACGAAGCTGCGCCTCGCCAAGAAGCTATGGAAGCCCTGCATCAGGCAGACATTGCTTCACTACTCTTTGGGGAGACGCAAGGACGAATCACTGAGTGCAAGGCTGTCCTGCTTGTTCAGCAAATGTGCCGGGCCGTAAACGTGAAACCCTAGAATTCCGAATGCCTGCCACCCTGACCCCACTTTAAGGATCACGGGACTTAGTAACTAGGGTTATGAATATGGTAACTCTACTTATAACTATTTATAACTCCGATTAAGGTACTTATAACCTTACTTGCTAGGTCCCATGATCCTCCAAGCATACAGCCTTCGGAGTCAACATGCAAGCCCAAAGCCTGTCGCACCAACCCTCAGCTGCACATGCCGGTAATCCTTAGGAGCTAAACCCCGAAAACCCCTCAGCTCTACACTCCTGCCGTTTAACATGGAAGCCAGGTGCACAAATAGGACAAATTAGCATAGAAGCCAACTCCCAAAATCCAAGATAACCTCCGACTAAATCCCTGGAACACACCGTAACGAACCCACCCTGAACCCCAAACCCTAAACCCCAAACCCTAAACCCTAAACCCAAAACCCCCAACAAAAACTTGGAGCTGCGAGCCTTAAGCCCCGAACCCCCGGACTCCCTTCTCCCCAAGGCCACTGAATCCTAGACCCGAACCATAGTCTTGTTAGGAATTATTTTTCATTTTTGTTCATATCAACCCCAAGAGATATCGAACATATTATGTTTATGATGGTTCTAAGGGGGGAATAGGAAACCAATCAAGGGTTTAGGGCTTAGGGCTTCGGGCTTAGTCCATGAGTTCTGAACCCTGAACCCTGACCCCCCGGCCCGGTTCTGTAAGCCCTCTTCGCCCAAAAAAGAGCTCAAAAACAAGGCGAAGCTCAGCCTTAAAACCCGAAGCCCTAAACACTGAGCCCGAAACGCTTAGCCCAAAACCGGAAGCCTTCGATCGTAGGTACTGCATGCACCTAAGATATCATATCTACGTTGCTCAGGCTTCCAACACAAGGCTGCTGGATTATGAGTTGCTTTAAGGGTTACTATAAGGGTTCTACATAATTCAGGCTTTTGGGTTAGGGTTGAGGGTTGCTGTTGTAGTTCATGCTTCAGGACGTAGTGCTCAGGTTTCCGTTTCGGCTTCCGACGCTCGCACATCGTGTTCAAGGGTTTTTGAGGTTTATGCTGTAGGGTTTAGGGTTGAGGGGTTGAGGGTTTAGGGGCTTAAAGGTTTTGGGTTTAGAGGTTTAGGGTTCAGGGGTTTAGGCTTTAGGGTTTTGGGGTTTGCGGGTTTAGGGGTTAGGGGTTTAGGGTTGGACCCACCGCAGGTATAGTGTTTTGCATGCTCAAACGTCCTAAGGTTGAGTCCGAAACGGCAGATTGGGGAAATGCCTATGGTTTCTTTCTGGGGTTTCGGATTGTAGTGCAGTCGCAACCAAGCGCCGACTTCTTTTCTATGAGCTCCGCAGTACTTGTCCCGAATCCTAGACCCAGAACTCCACAAGCCCATAAACCCTACTTACTAGGAAGATCATGGGACTTAGTAAATAAGGTTATAAGTACCTTAACCGGAGTTACAAGGAGTTATAAGTAGAGTTACCCTAACTAAAACATTACTTACTACGTCCAATGGTCCTTTAAGTACACCCTGAGCCCTGGTGGCTTACCACCTTAACCCCTCAGGCAGAGATTGTCCCCGGCACGTGGAAGGAGAGGGGAAATCTATCGAATAACTGGGGCGCGGGTTGGCTGTTAGAGGCTACAAGCATTCGGGTGGTGTTTAGTGCTTCGGGCTCAGGGTTGCGGGTTGAGGATTCGGGTGTAGGGTTTTGAGTCACAGGATGGTTGTTGGGTCGATGTGTTTTTTTTTGTGAGTGGGGGTCCGTCAGGATTTCGTAATATTTGCCGCATATACCTGGGTGGTTGTCAAAATTAGGATGCGTTTTTGGGTCCTTAATGTAATACGGCACCTGGGTACCCAAGAAGGGACACTAAATTTTGACAACCACCCACTTGCACGAACTTGGGGGTTGAGGTTCAAGGGACGGGAGTTTCGGAGTTTCGGACCTTTTCCCTAAACCCTGAACTCCAGAAGTCCTGACTTCGGGAGCTCGTGACGATGGGATCTCCTGGTGCTTTGGTTCAGCCTCTTTGTTTCAGGGGTTTAGGGTTCAGGCATTCTGGTCAAAGATTTGCGTTCTCGGGCTTGGGGTTTAGGGTTGAGGTTCCAGGGTTTGGGAAGATTGTTACACTCACTCTTTACTACGTTTTTTATCCCTGCCCGACAAGTTGTGGCTGCTTACAAGTACACCTTTCATCTGCCACTCCGCGAAATCGCGCAGGAGGTGCAGGGTGAATTTTACTGCACGCTCTGCGACAAATGCCCGAACGGCTGCAACCTCGTGCCTTCTTCGCTTATGACCCAAGATGATAAACAGTAGCAGCCCCTTAAATCGGTTTGCTGGTTGTGTTAATTACCATGAAATAGTGATTGTCCAAAACGCAGTGCACTTCAGGATTTGGGTACTGTTTTGGTGAGAGACTCGGACCTGGAAGCTTTGCACGACTACGACGGCTCTCCAAAACATGCACTCTACACCTGGTTAAGGGTTTTATAAGGTTTAGAGTTTACGGTTCAGGGTTTGTTCCTGAAGCTATAAAACTCTTAATGCGATCAGCGTACCAGTGTCAGCGGGGCGGTGGGGATCTTTGCCATTACTAGAAATGAGTTGTTGCGTGATGTGAGTGCCATGCTTGGAGGTTCATGCGTAGTTATAAGTAGGGTCATAAACCCCCTGATAAGTTACAACCATATTTATCCTACTTATAAACCTACTTACAACTAGCCATGAACCTCCAAGTGAGGGCTATCAGGTCTTCGGTCATTGTTGTCGTGACGTCGCACCAGTCGTCGTCGCTGTAGTGGTCGTTGACACATCAATGGTCATCACGTTGTCAGTATCCGTTGTAAAGATAATGTTTACGCATGGAATACGGCAGGCGTGAGTATTTTTCCTGCTCATCGGTGTTCTCATGATGAGGAGTCGGCGTTTGTTGCTGACGTCGTATCGAGCTCCGTTCATCTTCACACCGCTTTTTCCAACACACAGAAAGCTACTTAACTGTCCTAATCAAGCCTAGGCCCTCTAAACCCTTAAGCATATATTCCGAATCTTCAATCTGAGCTGGGTCGAGTGAGTTGGCTAGGCGTATATGACCTGCCACGAGGCCGAAGGCTTGAACCCTAAACCCTAGCCCTGAAATCGACGAACCTCCAACCTCCGCCGCAATCCTAAACCCTAAATCTCATAGATCTAGCAACGCCCACACCGTGTATACAAACAAGAAAGTCTTCCACTTCGAGGACAATCGTAACTCTCAACCCAGTCTTCTTAACTGATTAACAAACTCGCGTGATTCAACAGGTCCGTTCCGGGTGTAGGGGTCAGATTTGTGTGACTTTGGTTTAGGGCCTTTAGTTTTGCTTTAGGGTTCCCTAAACAATTAACCACTCGAATGGCCAAGGAGTCGCACCTCAACAGTGAGGCCCACAAGAAGCACCTCGGAGAACACCGAGTGCATGCCTATTTTCCGCAGGTTTGAGTTGCCTGTAGGGGCTTTGATGTTCGGGGTTTAAGGTCAGTGGTTACATAGGCTTTGTGGTTTAAAGTTTAGACTTTAGGGTGTTCTTGGATCGAGAGCTTGCGAGGTATACATGTAACGAAGATACTGCAAGGGAGCGCATGTTAACCTACTTTCAATTCTTTCCGATTTCAGCTCCCAGTCTTTATGCTTCTTAGGAGCCAATGTTTGTTTTACTATAAGACAACTCCACCAGACCATCAACGATGTTACTTCCATTATGGAAGGAAGATTCCAAGAGCGCTTAAGTAGTAACCTACTATTCACTCATGTATTCAAGATACTCGGCCCCGGAGTTAACGACATGATCCGACCAGGTCTGTAACTTAAATCGCGGGCATAGCTTCCTTATCGGGCTTCCCAAGGCTGCGCCCCAGGAAATCCCAAGTCTTGACTCCAAGACCTGAAAAGGTTCCTACCATGTGGGAGTTTCCAAAAATTGGGGGTACCTGATTTTGGGGTCCTTATAATCAGGCCCAAAAAAACAAAAAACAAAATAAACCCTGAACCCAAAGCCCCAGAAACACACACACACACACAAACACACCAGCGACGAACACCGGAGGGCTCTCCTAAAAGTTGAACCGTAAACCCAACCTGAAAAACCTTCCGGAACTGTCATAGGTTTCTGACAAGAATTGTATATAGCCTATAGGAACCTGACAGAACCCATCTAGAACTCTTACAGAATGCGCATAGTATAGCTTTAAAAAGTCTCCAGGAAGCTGGCTTGGGCCATGGGTGCGACCTATGCACTTGTGGCCACCCCGGCGTCTGCGGCGACGCCGATGCCACAGGCGCTTCTCCCGCTCCCTCCGCCGGTGATGCCGGAAGTACCTTGCCATGTTTGGGGGAATTGGGGGTTACAGGGTGGGCGTAGGGTATGGGTTCTGGATACAGTCTTTAGGGTGTGGGCTTCGGGTTTCAGGGTCTAGGAAATGGAGCTGAAGTTTGGCATAGGATTATTGGGTCTTCGGGTTTAGGGTTCAGCCCAATCCTTGAATCGACCTCGAAAGTACTCTTAGACCGCGGTCCCGTCTGAGTTGCAAAGGGGTTTTGCATGTTGTGCTGAAGTTGTTTTAAGGGAGACTTTCTAGATGTCTTATACCCTAAACCCTAAACCTATATACCTTACCCTAAACTCTAAGCCCTCAGCCCTGCACCCCTGCGCCGGGTTGCAGAGAGTTGCCGGGGCTGATAAGAGGTGCAATGGGCTGACAATATATTCATATAGCATAGTCTCACGTAAGTATACCAAAAAGACAAGATAAGCACGTTGTTGTCATAGAAGACAAGATACTTCTAATTCAACAGGGTAATTGCAATGTACCCTAAACCCTAAACCCCTAAACCGTGAACCCCTAAGCCCTAAACCCTAAACCCTGATCTGTTCCTAGGTTGCTCTTAGGTCTAGAAGACGTGAAGCATCTAGTCTGAGGATCTTCCAGCCTGGCAGCAGATGGGGCCAGATGGCCTGATCCGCTGCATCCCGTGTGGGAAGGCGTCCATGTTTTCTGGGTCATATATATATATAGGTGAATTCATTTATCCATTACAGAGAGAGCATCTGTATATATATATATATATATATATATATATATATATATATATATATACATATATACACACACACACATGCACACGTACATATACATGCACAGACGCACACTAGCTATATTGATGTTTCTCTGTATGTTATTGTAAACCATGCAAGAAATAAGTCTATATGCAAAGATCGAAAATACAGAATATACCTTTATATATATATATATATATATAACAGATACTTAGATAAATAGATAGCTGGGCAGGTAGATTGGTAGGTAGGTAGATATACCGAGCGAGAGAGATGGAGAGAGAGATGAGAGAGAGAGAGAGAGAGAGAGAGAGAGAGAGAGAGAGAGAGAGAGAGAGAGAGAGAGAGAGAGAGAGAGAGAGAGAGAGAGAGAGAGAGAGAGCGAGAGAGAGAGAGAGAGAGAGAGAGAGAGAGAGAGAGAGAGAGAGAGAGAGAGAGAGAGAGAGAGAGAGAGAAGAACATCGACACAAAGAGAGACAGAGAAGAATGGGATTGTGGATTTTGATTATCCCTTAGTTGCTCATGTATAGTATACCTCCGACTCCCGAACATCGACCGCTTGATAAATCTAAGGTAAGCTTCAGTTGGAATCCTAAGACCTTCGTCCGGATTTAGGGTCAGGGTTTATCTCATGCTGCTTCTCAGTTTTCGCGAATAGTTTCGGGTCGTTAGCGACTTGGCAGAGACTCTTTGGAGTCGTCGTTCTCCTCCTGGTCCTGGTCGTTGTTGTAACAGTCGCGGTCATCCACTATAGCGGCCGTCGTAGCAGTCGTACATGCATCTTAGTGGTATCATCATGCAGCAACATGAGAGCTTCCGAACATTAGGGGTATCTTATTTGGGGGGTCCTTATAATAAGGGTCCTACTATCTAGGGTACTATATTCGGGTCCCCTATTTTCGGAAACTCCCACATCCTGTCAGGTGGTGGACGACAACCACCTCATGACAGGCCGGCTCAAGATGGAATTTACCTTTGGGCCCTAAATAACTACCTGTACTATTTTCGGGGGTTCCTTCTTATAAGTATAGTATGCTGGGCCCCAAAACCCTATTCTAATCATCCTACAGCCGACAAGCTCCGATGCTCCCCGGGCTTCAAGGTCTGAGTCCTTTAGGCCTGAAGGTTGAGTAGTTTCGGGATGGGCTTGGGGCCGAGGGCTTCATCATCTAGGGCAAGTCCAAAAGAGGTGCTGTGGGAGCTACACAATTGCAACCGGATCTTGTACCAAGATTGGCAAGCTCGCTGTGTTGAACTGCTGAGACAGGTAGAAGTTGAGGATTTAGAGGGCTTCAGAGCCCCAGACCCTAAACACTAAACCTTGGGGTAAGTACCTACTTACGCATCCAGTGACAAGTTTAGGAGGACGTCGCGACCTCATGAAAAGAACGCACCTAACCCTAAATCGGTAAGCCCTAAATTCTATCCATCTCCAATTGCAGCCGTCCTCAGGGAAGGTCTTTGAGCCGAATCAAGCCCAAAAGCTAAATTTCGAAAACCCGAATGGCTTAAAGGTTTTGGGTGTGGGGTGTGTATGGGGGTTTTCATCGTCCAACGTGTTTTACAAGAAGCCAGCTTGTCTCCGCGTTGACGGTTTGGGGTTTAGGGCTCTTAACAGTTTGAAAATTTGGTGCGTAGGCTTCAATATGGCTTTGGGTTTCAGGCTTTGCGATTGGAGTGCAGGGGTTGCTGTGAGGCGACCACGGCCGACGCTTGGCTGCCTTCTTGGAGCAGGCGGGACTTTTACCCGAGCTCTGAGCGATGTGCCCTCCTTGATATGCCCTAAACCCTGGAGTTTTTCATATAGGGCTCCTTATTAGAACTATAGTATAATAAGGGCACCAAAACTCTACATTGAATTATTAAGGCCCCTTTTTTTAGAGGGTTTAAGGGCTCTGAAGCTCCTAATCCTTCATCTCTGCGATCCTGAAACCTATAGGTACTCCATAGTAGTTCCGTTTTGGCATTACCCAGAGGCTCCATAGTAGTTCCTTTCTGGCACCGTATAGGATTCTGCATATGAATCCCAGAAAAGAACCCATAGGTACTCCATAGTAGTTCCTCTTTGGCATCTATAGAATCCTAAGTATGAAGCCCCAAAAAGGAAGTACTAAGGAGCCTTAGGGTACCTTATAGGATTCCCGACAATAAAGTACTATGGAGCGTATGGGTATAAAAGAATCCTGCAACTTGACCCTCTCGGTGTGCCTACAGATCGTCTCAGCAGAGATGGGAGCACGGTCACCAGGATGATCGTCATCATGACAATTGTCGGCAAAACCATCATCATCATCACCACCAGCAACATCATCACCGCCACCTGTTGTTCCGGCTGCTGGTACCACATTCTTGCTCATCTGCAAGCCTGTTCGTGTATAGGTGGGTGATGGCCATCAGGGTTTCTATCGCAAGAAACACCACTGTTGCAAACATCGTCCCAAAAAGAACCAACCAAAAGCAGAGCATGAACAAGATCAACGGCAGCAACAACAAAGACCACGACGGCAAGACCGGCAACTGTACCATCGGCAGAAGAAGCACAGTAACCTCAACCACCATGACAACAACGGCCACACACCGAACCGGCGAGAGCAAAGCAGCAGCATCAGTGAATTATGTGCAAGAGCAACAGCGGCCGCAGCTGTTTGAAGACCAGAGCTCCGACCCTAATTCCTCAACACCATGCTTCTAATTTATGGGTTCAGTTAATTACCAATATTGTCTTGGGGTTCCCATTTTGTATTTATGGTATGACACACCCCTAAGCTTTTTCTGGTTATTCAGGCCCCTAGATTATGCTTTCAAGGCAAATCCGGTTAATTATCTCAGGGCTTCCAGATAGGTGTCTTTGTCGCGAAGTGCCCTTCGCTGGACCATCCTAAATCCCGAATCCTAATGCAAACTCGAAACCGCAAGTGCCTCAGCAGAAACCCAAGCAGCTCGACGCCCTAAATCCTAAATCCCACGCCTTGAACCCTAAACCCTAAGCTCTAATCTGAATTCTGAAATTTCGGCAGCGCAGGAGAAGCTGAAGCAGAGCGGATACGCACCTCCGGAGCTTGAATACCTGGCCTGGGTACCATGTTGCCTGGCTTCAAAGGTCTGACTTAGAGGACCATGGGACTTAGTAACTAGGGTTATAATTAGGGCTCTTTAAAGGGATCTATAGGGTTCCTTAAAGGGATGTATGGGGTTTAGGGTTTAGGGCCTACTCAGAGGATCATGGGACTTAGTAACTGGGGTTAAAATTATATAGGGTAACTCTACTTATAACTACTGATAACCCCAATTAAGGTACTTATAACCTTACTTACTAAGTCCCATGATCCTCCAAGTAGGACGAGGTATTTTGGTTTATGGTGTGAGGTTAGTACGCTTTAAGAGAGACCTTGTGGTTCTGAACAGTTGTCATTGAGGTTAAAATTGCCCTAAACCCAAAACCCCAAAACCCAAAGCCCCTCCTAAACCTAAAACCCCAAAACCTAAGCCTAAAACCCCTAGACCCTATACTGCTAAACCCTGAACCCCTCAACCTGGCCTTAAGGGCAAGGGGTTTTCGTAGAATGAATGCTACTATCCCCTGAAGCCCCCTCGCTAGTACCGCGAAGTTCGAGGGTTTAGTTCAGGTTCACGATCCAGAAACCACCAATTCAGTTCGCGAGCATTCAAGACTTGCAAGATTTATGTTTTGACTTGGGGTTTGAAGACTAACAACATATAGAGTTAAACCCCACACCCTAAACCCAGGATTTCCGGCAGTGGGTTCCTTGGTAAATCTGTACCATGATATGCCCCAATTCGGGCACTCACCAAGCCTTTGACCCACGGTAATGCAACGAAAGCAGACTGAAATAGCAATCTCCTGGAGCCCAAAACGCAAAACCTGACAGCCTCGAGTGGCCCCCCTGGCCTAAACCCATGAACCCCGAAGCCTCTTAATACCCTACACCCTACTTAAAGGACCATGGGACGTAGTAACTAGGGTTATACTTAACTCTACTTATAACTATACTTATAACCCCTATTATTAAGGTATATAATATTAAGGTACCTATAACCTTACTTACTAAGTCCCATGATCCTCCAAGTAGACCCTAATCCTGAAACCCTGAAGGCCCTGAGCTCAAATACCTCTCGAGGTGAACCCGAAAAGCCTAAGCCCGAAACTCCAAGGGTTACTGTCAGGGTTACTTTGAGGGTTCTATGCGGGACAGCGTAAGAAAGGTGCAGGCCGAAACTTGAGGGTTAGAGTGGTGGCCTTTAGAGGGTTTCCAGGTTTTAACGCATCTTTCCTAACGGTTCCGATGGTTGTTAACCGTCGTCGAACAGGGTACCTTAGTAGCTGGGTGAGTACACTTTACACTTTTTTGTGATAATATCATTCCTCATAGACCTGTAACCTTTCTGGGAACATGACCCTAAGGGTCCATGTACCCATACAGCATATAGTTTGGGCCCAATGTACCTATACAGGGAGTACATTACGGCCAATGTGTATACTACATGAGTACATGGACCCTTAGGGTGAACTCAGCAACTAAGGTAGAATAATTTCCTCATGCCCGCAGGCCTGCTGACCCTACCCTACGGCTTGAACCCTCAAGAAGCCCGGAACTCTTCCAGCAGTTCAGGGTTTCGGGCATAGTGTTATATATGTATAATAAGGAAATGTGCTTCTATGTTAGATATGCAGCCTTTGCGGCGTAGGCGTACTAAGCCATGCAAAACCTTATTGTTCCTTGCCCATGGAATACCCAATGAAGACACGTGTCGATTTTGGGGGCCCAGGCGACGAGAACGATCCCAACAGCGAGCGATGGATGAAGTGCCTGCTGTGCAGCAGCTCTGCTTGTCTTGGCTTGCTGCCCTGCCCGCAAAGCCTGAACCGGACTCTAAAGCCCAAAACCAACCCAAACCCAAATGCCTACACTGTAGTTTACATGAAGCATGGAAACCTGACATTCAGACCTTCCTGCAAAACTTGGTGTGTGACCGGAAAGGGGTTGGGGGCAGGTTAAGCGGTAGTGCATCGCTCTGTGCGGTTTTTGCGAGAGAATTGGGCGTCCTGTCTGTATCTACATACGGAAAGATACAAACCAGATAACCAGATCGATAAACGCATATATGCAAAATACATGTATATGCGTTTGTGTTTATATGAGTATATATGTGTATATGTGTGTATGTGCATACGTGTATATATATATATATGTATGCATAGATGTACACATGTACAGGTACATGCATGCGTACATGCCTATGTATAAAGTATCTTTGCAGCCGCCTTTATGTATTTGTGCGGAGTTCCTGGAGAACTTCGTTTCTACTTGTTTTTGATTCACTGAGGGGAATCGGCCGAAAAGCGCCCCTGAGCCCGCAGCTATCTGGCACGCAGAGTTTCACAAAGCCTGCAAACCACAAGCTTCACCATCCGTGCATACCCCATAGACCCTATCAAAACAAGCCACAGTCCCCACACCTAACTCCTAAATCTGCACAGTTGCACAGGCAAGTGGGTGCAAGATGATGTTGCACACAGTGGCATCCCGGCCCATCCAGCTGGTTCCAAAGAGCACCAGAAGAACCTCAGGACCTTTTACTGCCTTCGGACAGGGTTTAATTGTGGTGTTGAATCGGGCGGGCGGGTGGCTGGGAGGCTGGGGTGGCTGGGTGGCTGGTTGGCTGGGTGGCTGGGCTGGCTGCGTGGCTGGCTGGGTGGCTGGTTAGGTGGGTGGGTAGGTCGGTTAGTTGATGGGTAGTTGGGTGGGTGAGTGGGTGGGTGGGCGGGTGACTGTGTTGGAAAGATACTAGGACATCATAGCTATCACAGTTTGAATAATTTCCTTGAGTTAGAGTCTTGATATGCTAGCACTATATTCGAAGCCCTTGATGTCACTTCGAAGCACAGACTTTGGTCCTCGTGTAGCCCAGAGCCCCCACCCCCAAAACTACTTGGAGGTTCGTGGGTAGTTATAACTGGGGTTATAACTCGCTTAATATAGGTTATACCATAGCTATCCTAATTATAACCCTACTTATAACTACCCATGAACCTCCAAATAGGTTTGATCATCGCAATCGCAGGAACTACGAGTGGTACCGCCCTACTGTCCTCCAGCAGCGGCAGAAGTACCATCCTGTGACGTTGGCACGCTTGAGATCGGTGAGTTGGGAAGGAGAGTTCCGAATAGGAGTCCTTACATCATGAGACATCCTTAAACCTGCCTTGCATCCTCCCATCTTGCGATGTCCTGAATTCAGCACGGAAGGTTGTAGGTTTCGGGTATAGGCATAATGTTCAGGATTTGGGGTTTAAGTGTTGAAGGCAAAACAAACAAGTCCGTGCTATGTAGGTGTTTGTATTCTGAAAGGGTCTAGTGGTGTGGGAGTGGCGCGAAACCTCACATCTGCGGACCCCTAACGTCCCAAGCCCGGAATCCCATCAACCCCATCGAGGCCCGAATTCCCAGCCTTAACCCTAAACCCGAGGCCCTACCTTGACCCCAAATAACCTACCTTTTTCAGGACTCATACAAGGAAATCATAATAAGGAACCCTAAAAATGTAGGTTCCTTAGGATCCAGGTAAACCCTAAACCCAAACTCCTCAACCTTATACCCCGAACCCTCAGACCGGAAATCTCCCCCAAACCAGACCCTTCCCACCCTAAATTAATCCCTTCACCCGAAACCTTAAACCCCGAAAACCCTAAACACAAAGCCCGCAAATCCCTAAACTCTGAGCCCCAAAGCCCCCAAGCCTTAAATTCCTAAACTCTGCACCCCTGGCCCCAAAATTCCTAAGCTCCAATCCCCAAGCCCTAAACTCCTGAAGCCCTAAACTCTAAACCCTAAATCCTAAACCCTAAACCCTATTCCTGAAGCCCTAAACTTCTAAGCGAAGGTCGGAGGCGACCCCAGGGCAGCGGCAAAGGCGCCAGCGAAAGCTCCGCCGCCTCCGCCGCCCAAACATCCAACTCCAAGCCTCTCGGGCTTTAAAGGGATCTATAACCCCAAGGGTCCAAAGGACCCAATAATGGGGTACTCGGTTTTAGGATAGTAGTTATGTAGGTTAGGATTTTGGAGAGTATATGATTATTAGGTACTTGGACCCTTGGGGTAAGGATTCCTTTGAAAGGGATCCATAAGGGCTCCTTTAAAGGGATCTATAAGGGTTCCTTTTCAAGGGATCTATAAGGGACCTATGAGGCTTCTTTAAAGGTAGTAAGGTAAATGCCAGAGAGTTGGAATATGGTTTCAGGGTAGGATACCTTATAATTTACCATAAAGGGCTTAGGATAATCATATTCCAACTTTCTGGCTTTTACTTTATAGGGATATCCCTACCTTATGGGGGCTTCGTTGTAAGGGGGTTTAGATGGGATCCTCGCCCTTCGGGCTTCCCGGGCGCTTAGATTCAGGGTTCCTTTAAAGGGATCTATAAGGGTTCCTTTAAAGTTTAAAGGGATCTATAAGGGTTCCTTTAAAGGGATCTATAAGGGTTCCTTTAAAGGGATCTCTTCTACGGTTTATGGGTTTAGGGTTTAGGGGTTTACGGGTTTAGGGATCGGGGTTTCTGGTTCTGGGTTTTGAGGGTCGAAGGTTCAGGGTTTAGGGTGTAGGGTTGGGTTTTAGGCTGTCTGAGCTCTTGAAAGGGTGCAGGCCCCGACGCCAGCCCTGCTTTAGGCAAGCCCGGGTCGTGCTTAGTCCTGGTGCTCAGCCCTTTAACATTCAAATCCGCTTTCGGGTTTCATGTCATAGGGGTTGCGGCTTCAGGGGTCCACAGGCCTCGAGTTTTTCCACGGTGTAGGGCCCAGGGTTGCGTCGCTCGGTGCGGCTTTGGTGGCTTCGGGGTGCCAGAGTTTCGGGCTTCGGGGTGAGGCTGGCGGGCTTTCAGACTTAGTTGGAGGTTCATGGGTAGTTATAAATAGGGTTGTAAGTAGGAAAACTATGGTTATAACCTATATACAATAGGGGACTTATAACCCCACTTATAGCTACCCATGAACCTCCAACTAGGGTTTTGGCAGGCTTGGTGTTGAAGATAGAGGTTTACTCCAAACCTCAGACCCTCGTCGGGGCCCTGAGGCTTCAGGAGGAGAGCTCCAGACCCGGAGACCTAAACCCTAAAAGCCTCGAACAAGGGGGGGATTTCAGTTTGGACGGTGTCATGTCGACCAAAGGGTGTTGGGTCTGGGGATGGTGTATTCGGCGGTCCCCAAGCATCTTCAAAGGTTTCTGTAGGCTTCAACGACCGGGTCTTGGAGATTCAAAGTAATTTAGTCTTTAAGGTTTGGAGGGGTTTCGGGATGATGAAGGATTTAGGGTCTAGGGTTTTGGGTTTAGGGGATTCGGGTTAAGGGTGTAAGAAGGCTCGGGAGTTCGAGTTGCGGGCTTGTCGTGGAACTTTGGAAGTGTCGGCTTTTCACAAGCTTTGGGGTAGCCTCGCTTGCAGAACTTTAACCAAGGTTGCCTTGACTGCCATATGTTTCTTAGTCATTACTGCTACTATTGCTGTTCTTCTTCTTGCCTTTAGTATTACTACCAGTCTTATTACTGCGTCTTTTTAGTTTCTACTATCACTAGGTCGAAGGCCGAAGGATTTTCGCAGAGGCGTTGCAGCTTTTGGCTGCAACGAGGCGTCTGGCGTATGAGTTTGGAGGGGGTCTCGAGCGGTTCGACAGTTGAGGGCCCGACTCCAAACCCCTACTTAAAGGATCATGGGACTTAGTAAGTGAGGTTTTAAGTACCTTAATTGGGGTTATAAGTAGTTATAAGTAGAGTTACCCTAATTATAACCCTGTTAATAAGCCCCATGATCCTTCAAGTACTTCCTACATCCCACAGCGCAACCTGGCCCTCAAGCCACTCAGGCTGTAGGGTCTGCAGGGTTGCGATTTGGGGGTTTAGGGTGTAGGGAGTTTAAAACCCTAAATCCCTAAACCCTAAACCCATAAACTGTGTTATAGATCGCTTTAAGGGAGCCCTTATAGATCCGTTCAAAGGAACCCTATAAACCCTAGAGTTTATAGGGTTCAGTACAAAGCCTAAACCTCTTCAGCCAAGGACCGCAGGCTACCATGGCTCCCTGGGCGCCACCTCAGACAAAGGCTCCTCCTGCTAAGCAGCCCCCACCACCGAAGCCGGTGGAGGATGAAGAGGAGGAAGTGGAAGAGTGTTAGGCTTAGGATCTATGAGTTCAAGATTTGGGGTTTAGGTAAATGTTTGGTGGTTCATTAGATGGTCTGAAAAATTCTCTTCTGCGAGCTCATCTTAGCTAACCATGTCGAAGTTATCTTATCTCAGCCTATGTCACCTTATCTACCTAGGCTTAGCTTCTCATATCCTCTTTGATCTGCAAGCACACACATCTTTGGATGACCGTTGTGGATGTCCGTCGTCGCCCCGCGCAGAGCAAAGCCGCCTTTAATGGGGCCAGCAAAGGCTGCAGTGTACCATACTTACTGCCGTGCCTAGATCTTAGACTCGCCGAATTGCGGAGAAGTCTTCTTTCCGCATGACAGCTCTGGTACAAAAAAACTGCGCATGCCCGGAGAGCCCAGTACCCCTTAATTAAGGAATATGGCTTAAATCATAATATGAAGCCCGATATAATTTAAGCCATATTCCTTAATTAAGGGGTATTGGGCTCTCTGAGTGTGGGAGGGCGCGGGAAGTGCGAGTAGGTTCGTGCAACACGCAAGCTGGGTGCTGCGAACTCCTGAACTTTCAGCCCCGAAGAAGGGGCCTAACATAGCACTGTTTTGGGGCTTCCTTATTTTCATTATAGTAAAATGAGCCCCGAAGAAGGGCTTCAGAAGGGGCCTAACAAAGGACTATTTTGGGGCTTCCTTATTTTCATTATAGTATAATGGGCCCCCAAAACCCTTTTCTAGTTATTAAGGCCCCTGTATCAGCCTTGGGTCTCTTTCGCTGCCCGATGCACGACGTCTATGGCTTGTCGGTTTCCTTGACCTGAAATAGATAACTACTATTTGCTTAAGAACACCCAAAAAATAAAAAATATATTCCTTATGGGGGTAATATAGGGATTATTATTTTTTATTTTTTTGGGGGGTTCTTAAGCAAATAGTAGATAATTAGAATCCTTCGAGAAGCTCTGACAACAACCCTCAAAGACAGGGCCTTGCTGAGCTCTTGCATGTACCCTTAAGCAGTGACGGACTTTGGTGTCGTGTGCTCTACGCTACCGGCTTTGTGAGTCCAAGGCTCAGATTTTTAGGGTTGTGGTTTTAGTGTCTATTTGTTGTGTTTTAGGGTTTAGGGTTTAGGGTTTCGGGTTTTGTGGTTTTAGTGTCTATTTGTTGTGTTTGCCATCTTGTTCTTTGGGGCTTCGGGAGATTCGCCGGCCCCGAAACCTGAGCTTCTTCAGGCTTTTGGGCTCTGGGGCTCTCAACAACACCGAAACCTACCAATGGCCCAGGTCAGCCCTAACCCAAACCTTGAAATGCCCAGAGACTCCGCACCTGCTTAGTTAATATGAGGAATACACCTTAAGTAAACCACATCAAGGATTCCCCTAACTATAAGCCTTATACACCCCACCCCCTCCCCGCTAAAAGAAGCATGTGTAAAATCCTGTAAAAACCACCTTTCCTTCACTAGGGTGCTTGAACCCTTAACGCTTACTAAGAGGCTTAACCCCCAAAGCCCTAAGCCACGCCCAGAAGTCACCAGCCTGAGGCGTGATATCACGGCCGTGCAGGCCTTGGATACTCCCAGCGGCGAGGTGCTGCTGGGTCCAACACTTCATGCTGTTTCCGTGAGGGTTCTGAAGGGGTTCTATACTGGGTTCCGATTTGGGCCAGTTCCTCGTTTCCCTTATTGTTCAATGTAGAGCCATAGTTCTACATAATGTTGGGGATTTTTTTTTGAAATCCAAAAGTGCTCTCCCGAAGCCACCACTCGATGGTTTAGGGATGTGCGTCGAGGTCTCTACCATAGCAGCCTAAACAACTGCCACCAATACTTTTTCGGGGGGTTCCTTACTATAATTATAGTATGGTATACCCCAGAACCCGAATCTAAGGATCAAGGCAAGCTCCAGCTGCTTTCCAGCAAGCCCAAAGCACAGACAGTTGATGGATGATGTGGTAGTTGCAAAAAGATGATGTTTGGCCTGTATACGTGTGACTTCGTGTCTTTGTTTTTCGGTGTAGGGCAAGGGCTTGGAGTAAAGATGCTTTTGGGCTGCATGTTGAAGAACTCGAGGATGTGGAGGGGGAGGGACCTTCAACCATGCGTGTAAACTATGAATATACAGTTTCCTGGTAGCATCTTGACGGTGTGTTGCGGTTCAAATCCTGAAGGCTGGCTTGTAATAAACCCGCAAGCTGAAGCTCTAAGGGTATGCCTTTTAGCTTCTACTGAGGATATTCTCCTGAAATTTCACTGGTCCTATAAAGGAACCCTAAACAACAAACCCTTAAGCCCTAAACCCAGGAACCCGAAACCCTACACCCTCAAGGGCTCCTTTAATGGGGCTTGCGGTCTCGAGCCAATTCGCTTTCTGCCCACAGATCTGCCTCATTATCGATTACAAAGTGGGCGATCGCGCCGTGCCTTGGATTGCAAACGGCCAGAGAACCGTAAAGGACCTACCTGAAAACCCTAAACCCTAAATCCTTAACCCAGGAAACGCTAAACCCTCAACCCTTAAAGCCCTGAACACTAAACCCTAAACCCTCAACCCTTAAAGCCCCAAGCCCTAAACACTTAACCCTAAACCCTCAACCCTTAAAGCCGCAAGCCCTAAACCCTAAGCCCTAAATCCGAAACTGTCACAACCTAAACCCTGGAACCTCTCAGTTCCGAGACTTCGATTTGGAAGTTTCCGAAAGTAGGGGACCCTAATCTAGTACCCTAAATAGTCGGATCCTTACTATCAAATAAGGTACCACCAATTTTCGGAAACTCCCATATGTCTTATGTTCGACAACCGAGCTTAACCCAGGAATTGAGGTAGGGACAGTGGAGGGTCTCTTGTTAACCAGCCTTCTATTTTGGGGGCCTTAATAATTACCTATACTATTTTGAGGGTTCCTTGCTGTCATTAGTATAATAGGCCCCAAAACCCTAGTCTAATTACTCAGGCCCCTAGAGTACGGTAATTATTTAAGACTTACTCTGCAACCAAGACGTTCGTGATTCTCGACGGTGTTCAGGCATGTAGCCCAAGACCCCTAAACCCCAAACCCTAGTTCAGGGTTAAGGGCTTTGGGCTTGCAGGGTTTAGGGTAGAAGGTTTCAGGGTTTAACGGGTTGAGGGCTTAGGGTGTAAGGTTGAGGGCATAGGGCTGAAGGCGAACTGTTCAGTGACAAAACCACAGCACCGCCGGATCAGTATGCTTCGATCTTGTGTTGCCAGCCAAGGTAATACAAGGGCATTAATTGTTTCAATGTGGCTTTCTGGGATTTTATTTAGGTCTTTATTGGATCTTTTGTAATCGCACAGGCGTGGGGGTATGACGTTAAACCCATTGGACCAAGGGCATACAGGGGCTGTCGCCCTAAACCCTAAACATACAAGGGCTATCGGAGCACATTCTGGATCATCTTTCAGACCCTGTATTTCCTGAAACCGGAAGCTCTGCTCTCAAAACCTTCGCTGCATTTCGAGCTGAATCAGAACGCCTAAACTCGAGGCCATAATCACTAAACTTGGGCTCTAGGCTCTAAGCGTAACCCCTTACCTGAAACCCCCAAAACACAATATCTTACGCCCTAAATCCCAACCTTAACCAAAGGAGAGAGCTTACATACCCAGACATCGGGAGGATCCAAAAAGTAGATCCCTTAATGGGGGGGGTTCCTTTAAAGTACCCTTGGTAGTATAGGGCCCCAAATTAGGGGACCTACTTTCCAGATCCTCCCGGGGGTCTGGGTAGGAGGATAGCGTTAGATTCGGTTGGAGGGTTCGGGCATGCTTGGGTTTAGGGTTCAGGGCTTAGGGGTTTAGGGCTTTGGATTTAAAGTTTCGGGGTTTAGGGTTTGGGGTTTAGGGGTCTTAACCGGTTTTATAAACCCTTGAATGTAAAGCCCGCAGGCCTTAATCCCTAAAAGCCCGAAGCTGTCCACCCTCCATCTTTATGTGAGGAGATCCTCACGTTGCGTGCAAGCAGCCATCGGAGCCGTGAGGAGCCGCCTTTGAAGCTCAGTTTGGGCTTTCGGCTTGACGGTTTAGGGTATGGGCTGAAGTAAGGGATTTGGATTTAGGGTGGTTGTGGGCTTTAGGGATTTCGGAATCTATTTTTTTGGGCTAGTCGCTAGGGGCTTGAGGTTTGGGTTGTTGCGTTTTCGGGTTGGAACCTGCAAAATCTGCGAGTCTAGTCCACGCCCACAGTTGTTTAATGGCTCAGCCTCGAGGGTTCACGGTTTGGGTCCTTAAGCCCTTGAAAAGGTGTTTCAACGCCGGAAACCAGGAACGCCAAATCTACGTGGTTCACGGTTTAGTGCCCCAAGCCGATGTGCGAAACGGTTTTTCGAAGCTGCACAACGATGAGCCCTAAATCGCAAAGCCCTGAACCCTCAGATCTTGCAGCGAAAACCCGAAGCCCATGCGCCCCGAAGCCCCAGTGTACGGGAATGTACAGCAGGATTGGATCGTTTCCATCAAGACGATGCAGATGTCTGATCTGAGAGCCTAAACCTTAAATCCTCTAAACCCATACCCTAAGCCATAAACCCTGTAAGCCTAAACCCCAAACTAAACCAGCAACCCCCTAAACATACGCAACTAAGCTTTTTGATCCCTGCCGTGAACTGGGCCCAATTTTTCGGTTCTTCTGTTCAGGTATCACCCTTTGCAGCGTAGCGTTGAGGATAACGGGAGTAGCGTTTAGGGGAGTTAAGGGCTTACAGTGAGAAAGAGTGACGTTTGTTTTTGCGCTGAATCACGGCGCGAAGCCCTGGCATATGTGTTGGATACCTAAACCCTAAACCCTATTAAACTAAGTGGTCCATTTCACAGGCGGAAGCCCTCAAGCCGCAATGCTTGTAAGCCAGTTGTCTTACAAAGGCTACTTACTTGTTGTCTGGGCTTTCATAGGTTTATAGGGGTTATGAGGTTTAGCAGACCTTCGAGAGTTTGCCGTGCCGCAGAAACCGTACGGCTCAATCTCGCTTATTTGAAGTCCTTGCTCAACCCTAATCCCGCTTTCCT